GGCTGGCCCGGCCTGGCCTCAGGGGGCGCGGCCCGAGCGGGGCGCTCCGTGACCTGCCCTCCGAGCAGGGGCTGCCTGAGGGGCGTGAGGGGTTGCTACTGAGAAGAGCTGGCGATCTGCAGGGGGCGCGAAGCGGATTTCAGAAGTGAAGCTAGCGCTTGGGCTGACCCCCTGTCAGAGAGTGGCTGCCGCGAGAGGCGCGGCGGTGGAGTTAGCATTGGTTGTCGACACCTGATTTGGTGTTGCGGTGTGGTGAGCAGCCTCTGTTAAAGCAAGCTGATGTTGCGGTCTTCCCGGTTTTCCGCTGAAGAATGCGTTCCCGTATACAGCCATCAGCTTGCCGTTGCTCATCACTCCAGTTTTATACCTGTGTGACTTAAAAGTGGCAGGGCTGCACCAGTATAGAACTGAAGTTGTGCTGTTACTCTGCACCGTGGTGTTCTCTGGTTAAAAAAAATGCTCAGTGAACATTTGAAAAAATAAATGCTGTTTTTGAATAATGCTTAACTTTGTTATGCACAGAATGACAGCCGTTCCGGCACCACAGGTGCTGGTCGACCATTTCAGAACTGGAAGATGAAAGGTGAACAAGCTAAGAAAGTTGAATTCATAAGAACAGCAGAGAAGCTAAAAACTCAGTAAGTTAAACTCTTCGTCATAACTATATTTTCATGCCGTTCTGGAGGTAACATAACTCAAGGTTCAAGGTAAGAATTTCTGGTAATGAAACCTTCAGGCAAAGATTTCCTTTTCAGGAGCTCAGGCAGATTATTGTGGTTTTTGCAGTAGTTCAGGATAGGCTCATGAGCTCCAAAATGCCCTGTTCTTATGTCCATTTGGACTTCGGTCGAGCATCTTCTTTAGTAAGCTATTGCTGCACTAGATGCACAAAAAAGAAAGTGCGTGTGGCATAACTGAGCTCTCAGTTTTCCTACTCAGCTCTGCTTACCCTTCTAAGGACCTAAAGCCCTTAAGACATACCAACAAAAGGGGAATTGCAGCAGCATTACAACAGCTTCCTCACAGAAGACTGAAAGCACTTCATCTAGGCCACTGCTTTGGAAAATGGGGTTTCAAGCCACCTCAGACAGAGAAGTGATTTAAATCTTTTTCGTTACATCTTGAGCAAGTGCTGTAACAACTACACTGGCAGCTGAAAGAACAGGGAGGTTTCTTCTTGCATGGGTGAGCTGTATGAGGAAGAGCTGATGTAGCCACCTGGCTGAGGGCGAGGTTTGTAGTCGTGAACCCTGAACAGTGACATAAATCTCACAGCAGTGTTTTACACTGACTGAATCAGCTCCTCCCTAGTAATTCTGGATCCTGGGTTATGGCTCAAACATTGACTGCTGGGTAATGTAGATGTTCCCAAGCAGCTTCAAACAAGGCATGCCATTTAACTACGGCACACTGTCCTTCTGTAGTTGTGTTCTGAAGGCCTCTAGTGCACTGTGTGGGGAGATTTGGTAATTGGATCTGGTCTGTGGATTCCAGCGGACAGCAGAGCATTTAAATTCTGAACCATAAACTGCACCATAAAGGGGTTTGAACCACATAGCAGCAATAGTGTGCTGAATAACCAAGCTGCTACTGAGAGTCAAGAGTTTCTTGGGCTGTCAGTAGTGTTGCTTAACATTGGGGAATCCTACCAGATGTCTCCGTACTGCATGGCACCAGTGTCCTGCTGTTCTGATCTCCAACATGGTAGCACCAAACTTCTCAGCTGTGCTCAGGACTACAGTATGTGCTGCTGACTGGGTGGGTCAAACCCTATAGTCTACTGCCTGGTTGTAGTAGGGCAAAGCGCATCCCACTCTGAGTTGTACTCTAAAGCTCGTGACCTTAGTAAGAAAGCATAAGTCACCTATAGCTCTCTATACGGTACGTAAAGCATAGTTGGTAAGTAAGGTAGCAGCTGTAATATCTTAAGTTATTTAAATGCTAATGAACTTGAATTTGAATCTTCAGTTCCAGTTGTACTATTACTAGTGTTAAGGCTAAGGGAATGTACCTGCTTTGTCTGTTCTGGGGCTCCATCTACGTGTGCAACTGTATTAATACAGCCTGTCTCTGTCCCTGCGGATTCCAGTGAAAATTCTCATAAGGGTCCCTGTTCGTGAGCATACAGATAAAATTTCAGTATGTTTCAGTGTGTGAACCACTGCCTGTCAGCAAGGCAATTTCCTTGTTAACTTCTTCCTCTTGTCATGTTCTTAGGTTACTTTGGTGTGTAGTCTTGCCACTGCAGAAAGATTTTTCTATGAAAACACCGGTAGGAACAAACTAGTGATTTGTGTGAAATCTAAGACAGTCCTGTTGATGCAGCCCCAACTGGATACTAAGCTTGGAAAATCTTGGGACTTTGCAGAGTATTTGTGTCTTCTTCTGTGGCAACATTTTTTTCCAGGCTTGCAAATATAGAAAAAGACAAAAATGGACATCTTTACAATAGGAAGAGCGATTCCAGGGTAGAATACAGCACACTACAGGAACTGGAACATAGCATGACTGTCAGCAGGTTTTTTTTTTCAACCTACTGTTGTTTAAGTGGTTTAATAATGAGTAGTACAGACAGATCAGTTCAGGTGGAAGGTAGACGCTGACAAAAGTGTGGTATTTCACCATGTGTACTGCTTATAAAGAAGACTTCAACAATTCACTTGCAAAATGCTGAAGCATAAACATTTTGGACCTTCTGTGTTATAAACTGTTCTTCATTAATCTCGAATGCAGCAGATACCACCCACAACAACTTCAGTGGAAAGTTACTGTTTTAGAGACTTGGAATCAATTTTGTATGTATATTGCAAAATCTGATGTAGTCCAGCTACGGTACAATAAATATGTACTTACCACAATATAAGTTTTCACACACTGATTGCTGCCTTTAAATATACTTTTAAACAGTTCCATGTTTGTGTTTTTCAAATTCATGGATAATAAGTATTCATATTCTAAATAGTGCTGTGATATGGTACACAGTCTGTCCTACGATATCTGTTATGGACCAATTAAATACTTCAGGAAAAATAGCGACTCCCTGATCACAGTACCTAGATTGTTTCGAAAGTAATCAAATAAATCTTGCTATGCCTTTTAATGTAGAAGATCAAAATAAGTTGAAGAAGGGAAAGGACACATAGAGACAACTAAAAATATACTTACCTTACAAATTTGTGTGTGTTTGAATGTGCGTCTTTTAATTAAGGAAACTTGCCATAGTGTTTACATCCTGCAACCCGTAAGTAAATAATTCCAAGGAATGACCAAGCTAAAAAGTTCAGAAAATTTTCCAGGGTGAGAAGGGCACATGGAAGTATGGATGGAAACACTGTTGTGAGATAATAAAGTGGACAAAGATGAGAGGTGTAAGGCACTACATGTGAGATGTGAAGGAGTGTTAAAGTATGATCTTTTAGGGCATGTACTAGAGCCCCCAAACTTCCCATTTACTGTGTTGAGGTCTTTAAGCATGATCTATGTGCTTTTACACTTTGGGTGGTCTCAGCAGGAACTAGTAGGGTCATGTGTTAGCTACATTTTGTTACATTTAGGTCTTGGACTCTGTTATCCCTTCCTTAAACCAAATCATCTAGGATAGGAGATACAGCTCCTTAGTACCTAAGATATATCCAGAACTTCATCCTCATCAGTATTGTATTAATGAACTTACAAGGAGCCAAGTGATAACAAAGCAAATAAGTGCACGCGTGCTTGGAGTACACAAAAACATAAATTCTGCTTTAGTTAACATAGCAAATAATCTCATTTTAGTAGTACATTCACATATGCTTTCCAAGTTTGTTTTCTCTTCATTTCTGAGTGTTTTGAGGCCCAGGTCAGAGTCTCCTTCAAAATTCTAGAGGAGATGTCATCCGCATAGCAATATTCTCCAAGCTCTGGTTATTTGATGGAAAACAAAACCCCAGCTGATTTAATCTAGATATGACTATCCCGTTGACCCCTTTAGAAATAGGAGCTACTAATTTTAAAATCTGTTGACGCTGTGTGGGGAAATACGTGGCCCATGCAGCCTGCTACATTCAGTTACAGTCACGTTAAATTGCTTAGCATTATGGCAGTTTCTTATGATCAAACAGAATTTGTGTCCCCACTTAAATGAAATCACCAGTTTATTTTGATCATTTTGTTGCTCTTGTTTTTGTATGGAATTTAATGCACAAAGAAATGGTTAGAACTATAAGCACTTTATTTTAACAGAAGCTAAAATCCTGCAGCAGCTATCGAAAATACAAAATAATGTGAAGAGACTTCAGCAACAATTAAAAGATGTGAAGCCTACACCAGAATGTAAGTTGTGATGACAGATTTAAAACCATTTTCCTCTATGGACAGGTTTGTTGCATAGTTGGGCTTATGATTCTCCTGCAGACTTGGTATAGTCCTTCTCCAGTCTGTCTGCTTTTCCAGGAATTTATACTGGGATTTGCATGCAGTTAGCTAAATCACTGGGAAATCACACCTTTTGAATAAATGAAAGTCTGTCTTTTAAGGTATTTGAGATGGAAATGCTTGCTTTTTTGTACACCAAAATAAAAAAGTGTCCCAGAAGTCTCTGCAAGTGCCTATATTTCTGAATAGTGCTGAATTACTGGTAAATACTGTAGACTTCTTAAGTGATATGCTCTTTTCTTCTTTTTGTTTTTAGTCGTTGACAAGCTCAAGGAAATGATGGAAGAAGTTGAAAATGCAATCAACACTTTTAAAGAGGAACAGAGGCAAATGTATGTTTATACATGCTTCAGCTACAAGAAAAAGTGCTTTTATAAGACACAATGAAAACTTTGCATTAATCAAGTAAACTGTTCTTTTGATTTACTCTTTTGCTAGTGATTCCTGTGGTATGTAAATCAAAACTCAGGCTCCCAACGTTAGAATCTTGATAAACAGCCTATTAGAGAGGCTGTTTACATAGCTATTGCAGTGATCCAATGTAACAATGATTTGCCTATGAAATGGCTTTTCAGAGAAAGGCTGCAGAAGAGATTAGATTGTGGGTTTTTTGTTGTTGCTGTTGTTTTTTTTTAAGTGGGTGGGGGCTTTTTTACTTCTCCCTGCTGGTGTCAGAAGGGGATTGAGTTAGTTGTTTGAGTGCCATAAATGTGTGCTTTCGCTAAAAGGGTAACTTAATTCTGATTGTGTAGTGCTTTATTATGGGATCATTAAAACCCTGCTGTCATCTGTGTTAGCATTTCAGTTCTTAATCTTTGAATAATAGCTTTTGTGTGGCATTGAACAATTCCAAAATTCATTTTCAGTGAATGAACAATGAATACTGGATTTTTTTCTTACATTTCAGTGTTTATTCTCTTTTCAGATATGAACAGCTTTTGAAGGAGGAAAAAACTGCCATTAATGAGCTCAGTGTTTTTGAGAGAAAAGTGGAACTGTGGGCGTTAGGCAGCTCAACATCAGAAAAAGTTTTTAAATTACCGTCAGCTAGGGTCTCAGTTGATAAAACACTAGAAAATCATCTACCTGAAGAAGTAATAGAGTTTGAAAGATTTCTTCAGCAAACAGGAGGGCGGCAAGGAGGCTGGGATGATTATGATCATCAAAATTTTCTGAAAGTATGGACAAAACACAAAGGAAGGCTATCTTACGTGGATGAAGCCCTTGAGTATCTCTGTGGAAGAACAAAAGAAGATATTCAACAGCATGACAAATGGTATCAAGAATTTCTAATCTTACACGAAAGAAAGAAAGAGGTAAAATAACCCATCTAGGGCTTTTCTAGCTTTAAGAAAAAGTACTTTTTTAAATTTTAAATTTTTTTAATTTTAAATTTTTTAAATGTATGCATTTCTTATTTTTGTATTTTCCCTTCTGGTGGTGGTGCTAGGTGGATTTCTGTTACAGTTGATGGTATATAACTGAAGTCTTTAGCATCCTCAACCTGCCAAAAATATTTGTCTTAAAGAATTACCAATAAACGTAGAGACCTAACAACACACTGAAGTGGGCTGTGTATTGCCAAAGTATAAATGATTTTGATGGCAGTAGTCCAGCAAGTTAGATGCCAATCCCAGAGCAGTAAGTGATCCTATCTGAAATTGCCATTCTAATTACGTCTGTCCCTAAGAATATCTGTCCCACTGTATAGGCAATATACGTCTGCCATACTGACAGAGAACTATGATTCCTTTAAGAACTATCCATCTGATAATAAAAGATACACTGACATAAAAGCTGAATTATGAAATAGTACTTGGAATTGTTAATTTGAAGAAAAAAATTAAGACCTGAAATATTTTTGCATTAAAAAAAGCATATTACACTGACATTCATAACTACTCCAGGGTAATATGAAGGCCATGACATGATTTTTTTTCAGGCACGTATTAAACCTGCCTGTGTGATCCATAAAAATAGAAAAAAAAATTGTGAGAAAGCAGACGTAGGCACTTTCTTGCCTTTAGTAGATGTTTTTAATTCCTGTCTGCCGCTTATATCCTTGGAGCATATGTTTTCATCAGACTGAATGAATGAGAATGTGTAAAATTTTAATGAAAGCTTCCCCACCCCGTTCTCTTGCAGTCAATTAAGAAGTGGAAAGAAAAGCAGCAGCAAGAAAAAGTAGGACACTTGAAGGAGAAAGAGAAATCAGAAAAAATGCTCAAGGAAGAATGGCTACAGCGTGAAGAAGCTCAGAAGAAAAAAGCAGAAGAAAGAAAAAGACAACAAGCAGCAGTTGAAGCATGGAAGAAACAGAAAGCAGCAACATTTGCAATGGAACAAGCATCACAACTAAAACTAGATGAAGAGAAGGAGAAAAAGCAGCAAAAAGAATACCAGCACCAATGCCACATGAAGTTACTGTTGGAAGGGTATACCTCGCAGAAGAAAGAAAAGGAGGAACTTCAAAAGCTTGAACAGAAGAGAGAGGAAACTGAAAAGGAGGGAGGGAAGAGAATTGCCACAAAAGAAATTACCAAGTTTCAAGAGCGTGTGCGTAATTACATCTCCATTTATGCATGCTGTTTTAAATTCACCTACTTCCTCCTATAATATAATCTGTTCAACACTTTTAAAAATCCTTAATACCCAAGTTTCATCCATTTAAGTCTATTTTTGATTCACTATGAATAACAGCATCCATTACACACAAAAAACAGTATGAAACTTTATTCTAGACACAGATGTTGCTTTCCCTCTATATCTAAGTTCTACAGGATTATTCAAGCCCATATTTAGTTCTTTTTTGCATACAGAAGTGGTTTTATTTACTTCAATGTGAAAATGTTTGGGAAAAACAGGCTGTGTCGCTCTCCATGCTACAGAAAATGTCAAAAGACCTGGTTGTTGTTTGCAGGTGTGAAATAGAAAGAGATTGTGAAGATCTTGCAGGTTTCAGTAGCTGTAAGGTGAAGTTCAGTACCAGCTCAATGTAAATCTGATTACTGGAGAGCCAGTATTATTGTCAGCATTCACACTAGAGTTAATTTTTGTAAACAGAGACCAACTACTACGATCCTTTTTTTTTTTTTCAATACTGTGTAACTACTATTTGTTTGTGCAGGACAAGCTGTACCAAGGAGCTACCTAGTGTAACTTTATTCTGTACCATGACAAAATAATTTCAAAACAAAAAAATAAACTGAAAGGGCTGTGTATGTATTTTTATATAATTTGTTTTACTTCCAAAGAAAAGTTTGCTTTTCTGTTTGTTATATGTTTCAGGATCTGCATAAACTGGAGCTAAGTATTCTACAAAAACATACTGAAGAAGTAGAGAAACAAGAAAAAGAAAAAAAGTTGGCAAAGTTAAGAGAGAAGGTAACTTACTTTATTTTTTTTGTTTAACTGAGATGTGTGCACCTTGGTTGTTTAAACAACCTTTTTCCTCATTGCTCCAAAAAGCAATTATTTTTACTTCTCTAAATGGTTCATAAAGGGAACAAAATTAAATAATAGGTCATGCTCATTATCAGGAGACAAAAATGCAGCAGGCATAATTGTGTTTAAAAGAAAAAAAAAAGAGGAAAGAATAAAGGGCAAGAAATAATTTATTTCTCTCCCAGCAATATTTGCTCTGGGTAAAGCCTATAGTTTATACAAATGAGCTGCAATATGGTTGGTGTTTTTAATTTTCAGATGTTTTTCTACCATTAGTTAACTAACTAGGCTGGCTTCCAGAAGAGTTTTGGTCACAATGGCTGGGTTCTGAGAATCTAACCTTTTAAATTACTAAAATTCAACAAGAGCACGCAGTTGTTGCACCTCTTACTGATTTCATGTTTCTGCCATTTCCTGTGATAGTGCAGAGGTGGACGGTTTTTTTCAGGCTGGCCAGTGTGTCTTGTTTACGTTGCACCTATTCAGATGATGGAGACCTGGCGTGTGTATGTAACTCATTTGGTCATCAAGGAACAAGGCCAAGTTTTTTCTTTGTTTCCCTCCGAGGTCAAGATTCAGGTGGCCAGAGACGGGTCCAGGGTGTGCAGATCTACCAAGGAGGAACGCACGAAGCTGCTCACACCAGCAGCCTCGGCTTTCACGTATTCCGCACAGGTAAGGAGGAGAATCACAGAATCACGGAATCATAGGTTGGAAAAGACCTCTAAGATCATCAAGTCCAACCGTCACCTTCATGGCTACTCAACCATGTCCTGAAGTGCCACATCTACATGTTTTTTGAACACCTCCAGCGATGGTGACTCCATCACCTCCCTGGGCAGTCTATTCCAATGTCTGACCACTCTTTCAGTAAAGAAATTTTTCCTGATATCTAATCTAAACTTCCCCTGATGCAACTTCAGGCCATTTCTTCTTGTCTTATTGCTAGTTACTTGGGAGAGGAGACCAACACCTGCCCCACTACAGCCTCCCTTCAGGTAGCTGTAGAGAGCAACAAGGTCTCCCTTCAGCCTCCTCTTTTTCCAGACTAAACAGCCCCAGCTCCCTCAGCCGCTCCTCCTAAGACTTGTTCTCCAGACCCCTCACCAGCCTCATTGTTCTTCTCTGGACACGCTCCCCTGCTTGGCGTAATGGACCCAAAACTGAACACAGTACACCAGGTGCGGTCTCACCAGAACGATGGATGCGTCACGTGACTTAAGTACAGCTGTATGTTCCTGTGTGGAGGAAGCAGGGCTATAAGTAGGATCAAAATCCCGTGGGCCAGGGCTCTCGAAGTAGGGGGGTCCAAGAGAGCTGGTCGCTGTTTAAATGTCACTTCCTCCGTGCACAGGAGCAGTGCATCCCCCTGAGAAAGAAATCGAGCAAAGGAGGCAGGAGACCCACGTAGATGAGCAAGAAGCTTCTAGCAGAGCTAATGTGGAAGAGAAAGGTCCATGGAATGTGGAAAGAGGGACAGGCCACTTGGGAATAGTACAGGAACGTGGTCAGAGCATGCAGGGATGCAACGAGGAAGGCCAAGGCCCACCTGGAATTGAATCTGGCAAGGGATGTCAAAGACAACAAGAAGGGATTCTTCAACTACATCAGCAGCAAAAGGAAGACTAGGGACAATGTGGGGCCGCTGCTGAATGAGGCGGGTGTCCTGGTGACGGAGGATGCAGAGAAGGCAGAGTTACTGAATGCCTTCTTTGCTTCAGTCTTCAGTGCCAAGGCAGGCCCTCAGGAATCCCAGGCCCCAGAGGTAAGAGAAGAAGCCCACAGAGAGGATGACTTTCCCTTGGTCG